GGTGGCTTTTCTGGAAGAGAACACAGCTAGTCAGGAGAGAAGAGGGGTGGCTGGGCTGTGGCCTGTGGGAGGGTTCTTAACAAGTTGAGGGACCTCACCTGTTTCCAGGTACCAGAGGTCCTTGCAGCAGACCTGGTTGTTCCAGGCTTTCCGGTAGCCGTCTCGGCCACTCCAGATGTACAGGCGGGTATTGATGGCGACAGCACAATGCCCAGCTCGCGCCCGGGGAATGTTGTCCTCCAGTGTGTCCATCAGGATGGTCTCCCAGGCCATGGTGTCTGGGGGAGGAAGAAGGGGTGGCTTTTGGCCTTTTGCAATCAGAGACGGGGCATTGACCCAGGAAGCCCTAAACTACTACTCAATGAAAAATAATTCCCCGTGGCGAAAATGCCACAAAAAAGAAAAAGCTAAACCCTGAATGACCAATGAGGAAAAACACCTAAAATGCAGCCAAAGGCTGAACTTCTTCTGTGTCAAATAAAACAGCCCAGGGAGAAGCAAAAGAACTAGAGAAAATACGCACCACCACTCAAAATAAGAACTGCACGTCTATGTGCTAGCAGGGTCTCAGAGAGCTGGCCTATGGAGACGGTGCCTGCCAAGGTGCCTGCAGCAGCTGGGTTTGAAGCCTTGGAAGGGTCCCTGCCCAGGTGTGACAATGGTGCCAAGACGTCTGCAGGCGCATCGTCCCCACCAGCCTTGCTGCCACCATAGTCATGAACATGGAGGTGGTACCTCACCAGGCAGGGCTGTGGGAGACGGGTCCAGAAATGGCAGACTTTGTGCCATCGTTTTTGTTGTTGTTTTTTAAAAAAGAATATACAGCCAATGCTTGTTATTTGTCCAAAATGCCTTAGGGGCAAGAAAAACCAAACCAAACTCACTGCCACTGAATTGATTCCGACTCACAGTGACCCCCGCCTTGGGTTTCCAAAGCAGTGAATCTTTATGGCAATAGACTGCCCAGACTTCCTTCCACAGAGTGGCTGGTGGATTTGAACCACTAACCTTCTGGCCAGTAGTCAAATGCCTTAGGCACTATGCCACCAGAGCTCCTAGGGGGCAGGAGGGGACAAGAAAGCACTGCTGGTGGCTGGGCTCTTTTGTCCCTCTGGATGTCACCCCACATGGAGGAAAGAGCCTACTCCACAAAACAAAAGGGGGTGCTGTGCTTTGGGAGGCTCTGGCCCCCCGTACTTGTCACGGAGTCACACGGGAGCTGCATCACTAGCCCACCCGGCAGAGGCCTCAGTGTAGCTGAAATGGTACTGCAGCCAGCCTCCCTGTAGCACTGAGGGCACGCCCAACCCAAGGAGGCCATACCCAGGTTGAGACAAGCCAGCGTGTTGGTGCACTTCCACTCCTTCTCATGTGTGGCTACTTTGACATCATCCATGACGAGAGGCACCCAGCCACCAAACACGTACATTCTGGGAGGGGTGAGGGGAGAGCAGAACAGGATTGGAGATGGGCTGCAAAACTCCAAGCCACCTGTGCCCCCTAGAAAGGCCTCCACACTCTCACTTCTTAAGACTTGCCCCAGGAGAGCCCCCAAATCTCGCCCGGCGCAGCCCGCTCCTGCCTGGCAGCTCACCTTCACGCCGCCTGCTGTCCTGTCCTGTCCCGTCAAGACCTCAGCAGCGACAGAAACCCGGGGCAGCATGTGTAGGTCAACAAGTCTCTACCCTTCCAACTGGTCAGGGCTCCTACATGTGGACCCCCTCCATCCTCAGCCTATGTTCCCCCAGCACCCCCAGAGTCTTAAGAGAGATGAGGAGAAGAGGCTGTTAAGCCCCAAGCCCTCCAGAAAAAGAGGCTTTCTTGGACCATCGGAACAACAGACACGAGCCCTCTGGGGGCAGGGCAGCACAGCAAAGCGGGAGGTGAGCAGGTGGGAGACACTCACTTATTTCCTATGGTTGTGGCTGAGTGAAGGCTCCGAGGCAGTGGCGCCACCCCACTGAGGCTGGGCTTGTTCCACGTCAGCGTCTCTGTACAGTCCGAGAGGAGAGAAAGATGGTCACCACCAGTGGAGCAGACATGGGGTGCTGACCTGGACAAGGGCTCCCTGGCCTTTCTCCAGGCCCCTTCACTGCTGCTGCAAATGCCAGGTCACAGCACCTTCCAAACACCTGTGACCTTCCTAGTAACACCATTTCTTCAAACACGTGCTGAGCTCACCGTGAGCCAAGCACAAAGGGGCCAGTGCTTCACGCAGGGGCCCCTGGGCTCCAGAAGTCAACCATGGAACACGCCAGGTAGTCTGCCAATGAAGCATCCCCAGGGCCTACTGCTCCTCAGACCTAGAGAACACCATTCAGAAAGACACGAACCTCTCCTCCTCGATTGCCCCTAGGCTAGCAGATCACACAGCCCAGTCAACTGAACCCTGTTCTCCTAAAAAAGCAGGCTACAAGCTCAAGACAAAGCCAGCTGCACCAAAACCTAGGCAGGACAGGACTAAGTTGGGTGCTCTGTTTCCCAGTGAGCCCAGCTCACTGTATGACAGCCGTGCAAGCTACCAGCTGACCACCAAACTAGCTCAGTGTTATGGACTGAATTATGTTCTTCCAAAATATGTATCATTTACAGTGATCTCTTTGCCTGTGGTGGTGGTGGTTGTTATGTACCGTCAAGTCAGACCCAACTCATAGCGACCCCTCCCTGGGTTTCCAAGGCAGTATCACTACGGCAGTAGACTGCCCAACCTTCCTTCCGAGAAGTGGCTCTGCGTTTTGGAACCGGCTTTGTCCTGTGACTGAGGCAGGATTTGGGGGTGGGGGTGTGTATGGAGTCGATCTCCCAGGAGATATGAGAGAGGCTAAGCAAGAGCAGAGACCAGAGAAGGTGGAGGCCAAGCCATCTGGAGCTCTCCCAGGAACGCCAGGCCACAGATGCTGACAGGAGACCAGGAGCTTCCCCCAGAGCCAGCACCCTGAATGTGGACTTCTAGCCTCCTAAACTGTGAGAAATTAAATTTCTATTAAAGCCACCCCATGTGGTTTTTCTGTGATAGCAGCACTAGAGAGCTAAGACAGAATTTGGTCCTGGAAGAGTGGGACGCTGCTCTAACAAATACCTATAAAGTGGAAACAGTTTTGGAATTGGGTTAACAGGTAGAGGCTGGAAGACTTTTCAAGGTGCCTAACAGGGAAAACCTAGACTGTACTGAACAGCCTTAGGGACCTAAAGAGGTTTCTGGTGAGGACTCAGGAGGAAGTGAGGCGAGTTATTGAGGATATCTCTATCCTTTTCTCAAAGGATACATATGGCACCAGCAACAGAACGTTGCTAGAAACATGGACGTTAAATGTGCTCCTGGTGAGGTTTTAAAAGAAAATGGGAACCATGTGATTGGACACTGGAGGAAGGGTGATGCATTCTATGCAGTGGCAAAGAACTTGTCTGAATGACATTCAAATGTTTGGTGTAGGTAGAACTAGCAAGATCTTAAAGGGGCCTTGTAGTTTTTTCTTGTCGCTTACAAAAAACTGAGAAAAAGTGACAGACTTAAACTGCAAGATGAAAACAGAACTTACTTGGAAAATTCTGCTATACAAACTAAGGATAGTGTCCTAGAACATTCATCAAGGACGTGGCTACACAAACTCTTGTTAAAGAGATTAAGCCTATGACTGACGGATCTAATCAACTACCACAGCAGAAAACCCATCAGTCCAGGCTGAAGCGGACAAACAACAAAAGCTGCCTGTGTCTTGGAATGCTACAGGCAGGAGGAGCTCCCTCTCTTGTCCTGCAAGAAAAGAAAAGAAAAGGAAAAAAAAAAAAAAGGATCATCTCTGGAGCAGCTTGGAGATCAGCAGACCTGTTAGTTTCAAAGGGTGGGGCCACAGTCTCCTGGGTCTCACAGACACAGCCTCCTAGGTTTGAAAGTCGAATCTTTACTAGCTTGGTTCCGGAGTATGGGGCTGTCATTCACAAGTGCCAGGGCATGGGTCAATGCCCGAAGTCGAGGAACCAGGGGCTGCCATGCCCAAGCGGCAGGAGAATGGGGCCCTACCAGATCGAGGGGGTGGGGTCACCACTCAGATATAATAGGACAACAGGGCTGCCCAAAGCCGAGGGAGTAGAATTGCCATTCCAGTGGGCCATGGGGTTTCTACCTAGAATCCAGAGAATGTGGCCAATATCCAGAGTGTGGAGGGTGGGGCCGCTGCCCAGATGGGCTCAGAGAACAGAGGATTCGTATCAAACCTCGAGAGCTAATGTGAGCTGTTCTGCTGGCTTTGGGACTTGCTTGGTGCCTGTTAGGCCCTCTTTCCCTCCAGTTTCTCCCATCTGTAATGGAAATGGCTACCTGTGCCTGTCTCACCATGGTACTTTGGCAGCAGATAACTTGTATTCCAGGTTTCATGGGTTCACAGATGAAAAGGAATTTTTCCCCAGAATGGAATAGGCCTAAGCCTGAATTCTCACCCATAATTAGTTTAGATGATTCAGAAGATGAAACTAAGGACTCAGTTGATTTAACACTTTTGGGATGATGTGGGCCAAAGGGTGGAACATTATGGACTGAATTATGCTCCTTCACAGTATGTACTGTAAACCCTAACCTCTATGCTTATGGCTATAACCCCACTTTCAAACACGTTGTCTTTGTTACATTAACAATGTAGGTTTAGTATGAGGTGTGTCTTCAGTTAATTTTTTTTGAGACTAAGAGATTAAAGAAGCAAACAAAAGAGCTATGAGGTAAGGTAGAGGGCAAGATACATGGAGACCTCCAAGGAAGCAGGCAGCAGAAGCTGACGAGACAAGGATCTTCCCCCAGAGCCAACAGAGAAAGAAAGTGGAGTTCTGGCTTCCTGAACTGTGAGAAAATAAATTTGTTTGTTAAAGCCATTCATTCATTTATGATATGTCTGTTACAGCAGCACTAGAAAACTAAAACATTTGGTGACCAAGGACACTGAGGCATGAACACCCTGCTTCTTACCAATATCAAGGGTCCAGAGGTCCCCCAGTCTGCAGCCACTCATCCCTCCGTAGATCACCAGCTTGGACTTCTTGTTGTCTTTCTCAGTGTAGACCACAGCGGTATGTGATTCTCTGGGTGGGGGCAGGACCCCATAAGTGATGGGGATATCCCAGGCTACCACTCCAGAGCCTGGTCGCAATTCCAGGATGTATAAATCATTCAGATACCTGACAAAAAAGATCAATTATGGTGAACCTGCCCCCACATGCCACATGGGTCACAGGATACTCGTCAGTGAACACTGGGCTCTCTGGAAAAGCCAGACGCTGAGGCCATGTGAGAGCCAAGTTCTCCTGCCCTCACCCCCAAGAAAGGGGCTGACAGAAGCCCCCAAGGGCGAGAGTGAGTCCAAGAGGAATAGTGGGATGGGGGATACCTGGCTGCCTGGCACACAAAGCTGGGCTTTATACCAGGGCTTCCCCAGAGCACGAAGGGGTGTTAACTTGGGGCTACCTTCAAATGGAAAATCCCAAATCACTAAACTCACAAGCAATAAAGGCAGAGAAGGAAAGCAATTCACTAACCTGCTCTGAGGAGCAGGGACCGCTCCCCGCCCAAGTGTGCTTCTCCCTTGAGGCCGGCCCTCCTCCCTCCAGGTGTCCCCAGGGGGATGGGCTTTAGAGTTGGAAAAGGGCATCAGACTGCATCTAATGCAATCCTCTTATTTTCTAGAGGTGGCAGTGGCAGCGACTCATAGCATGACAGGGACTTGGCCAATGTGGGGCCTGTCAGTTTTATGACCCCAACACCCCCTGGCCAGGTGCAAGCTGACCCTCCATACGTGTGATTGCAGGGAAGGGAAGAACCTCACCTTGGAATGTTGTTCTTAGGGTCCTCACTGTCATTGGCCAGACCCCCGAATAGGTAGCATTTGTTGCCCACAAGGGAGAAGCTGTGGCCAAGCCGAGGACATGGAGGGGGCCCATTTTTGGGCGTCTTTGCTTTGAGCCTCTTCCACTCCCACCGGCTGGCCTGCAAAATGAAGACTTGTCGGTTGAGTTCTAGGCCAAGCAGGCTGCCACTGCCAGTTCCCCATAACCATGCTATGCGGTAAAGAGCTGGTCTGGGGGACCAGAAGCGCCTTCAGAAGTTTCCAGGCCATCATGATGACTGACAGTTCAGAATGGCCTTGGCAGAACACCTAAGAGCCCCACTGACTTCCTCACTCTCATTCCAAACACCGATAGCTACGGCACACCAGGGCCATGGGGGCCAAGGCAGTGCAGTGCAAACCCAGGGCTGTGGAAACCATGTCCCCACCCACCCAGGGGGGAGAGGGAAGGAGGCAGACTGTACCTGGAGTTCATAGAGGTCGTTGCTGTATTTCCCATACTCCACCATTCCACCAAACACCAGCAAGCGGGTCCCGTCACACACAAAGCCATAGGCTGCACACCCGGGGGGAATGTCCCCTCTCACTGCTGGGATGAACCACTGGTTGGTGGCTGGGAAACAAGAGGAAGCACAAGTCAGAACACAGGGGCTTCTGACAAAACCCACTCCTTTCCCTCCTGCCCCCCAAGGCCCCTGGACTTCAGAGGAGGTGCCAGAGAAAGGAGGAGCTGAGACAGGACCTCAATTCTGAAGGCTGCAGGGTCACCCTGGACTTGGCCACCCCACACAGCCCGCGAGCATCCCGTGCTCATCAAGGTTGTCTGAACAAGACAACTCAGCCGTTCTGGGCAGCTCCCACGGACTCTCTTCCCAGCCTTTCCATGGGTCACTGGAAACTGACTCCCAAAGGAGCCCCATGGGCTCTGGTCAGCCAGGGCCTCCTGACACTGGCCCAGCAGCCCCCGCAGCTGGACACACCTCCCCCTCCGCTGGAACCTCCTCAGCCTGCAGCCTGTCTCCTAGGTGATGGTCCACAGCTCAATGGTAATGCCACTGCCCCTCCCCCACGCACCCCATGCCTCTGCCACTCCAGAATGTTCTTTTAAGTCAGAGGTGGCTGAGGCAGCAGTAGCGTGAGCTTCCGGGGCAGTCTTGCAGCCTCTGCCAGCCACAGAGGCTTCTCAAAAGCCCCTCACCTCTAGCTGGGGAAACCAAAGAAGGAGGCCAAACCAAACGCCAATTGCCTCATCACAGAACTCAGGGGCGTCAGTGCCTCCTCCAGACAGTGGGGACTCAAGCAGGAAGGACACGGATGGTGAGAACAAAGGGGTCCCTGCTGTCCCCGTCTTTCCTGCCTGGGGTGCCTGGCTCCCCTGAAGAGCCCTGGGGGAGCGCACCCCTGACAGTTGACTGTCAGGGCCGCTCATTCGAAGGCACTCCCCGCTCTCCTCACAAATACAAAACTGGGTAGCCAGAGGCTGACCTGACCCCAGGGCCCTCAGGCGGTCTGGGTCCATTCTGAGCAAGAAGACTGTGGGAAGGCTCCATGGCTTCTGCTCCAAGGAAGTAGCTGTGTTTGGGGAAGCAGGTGGGTCTGACGGTTCACCAGCTAGGACCACACTGGAGGGCTGGGGCATTCGGGTGGGGACAGGCTTCACAGACCCCCACTCTCAGGGGCGGCCTTGCCTCTCGCATGGGATGGATGTGGTCACTAATACTCCCCCCGCCGTGTCCTAGGTAACCCAGGCCCTAGGTTGACCCATGGCCTAACGTGCAACTCTGGCTCAAAGGCTTAGGACGCTCACAGAGAAGACAGGTGAGGAGGCCCCGCCCACGCGGGCAGGTTCACTTAGCGGGCTCTTTAGCGCTTTGGCCATTTGGCTGAGTCACGGGGCACAGTAACGGGGCATATGCACTGCCTGCACACGTGCCTCCAGAGCCTAGCTCTCTCCTCACCATACTGTCTCAAGAAAAGCGACCCTCTGTCCACTCGCACAAACCAGGAGAGGACGCCGACAACCTTGGAAGGAACTCCTGTCAAGTTACAGAATAAAGCCGAGAGGAGCCAAGCCACCTCCCTTACCTCTCAGAGTAACAGCCCGGGAGGGAAAGTGACTTCCCTGAGGTCACAGAGCCAGAGAACCCCTGCCACCAATGTAAGTCAAAGCTCACCACCACTGGCTGAGCCATGGGGCTCGGGGCACGAGGAGCCCCTGGCCATTTTCCGCCCCTGGACACCCTGGTGGTCACCAGGCAGGACTGAAACAAAGCTCCCAATTACACAATCATTCTAAGGGACTCATGAGATGACGGTCAGTTCTAGAACAATCCTGTCAGGCAGCACAGTTTCTGGTACGAAGTCTGCCTCTCTCCACTTCCCCCGCGAATCCCAGGCCCCAAAATAGCGCAGCCTAGGCTCCCTTCCCTGCGACAGCTGTTCTCATCCGGCCCTCAATCACCGTCTCTCCGGCCCACTGCGCCAGGTATCAGGTGACCCAATCCCCGGGTCCCTCACTCAAACATGCTCTGGCTTGTCACCGCTTTCTCAGGGCAGGCCCTCCGCTTGGAGGTGAACGTGGAGAAGGGAGGGCATCTGAGGGCTGGATCCCGTGTGGACAAGCTACCAGCAAGCAGGCATTCCAGCTCCCTCCACTCCTGTAAGGCTGCCCCTTGTCTGCTCCGGGGCATCGACCAACTAGGACTGGGGACCCATGGGGGGGCTACACCCAGGCCAGCCTTCCTTTGGGTTGGCTTTCTCACACCCACGCAGAGACGGACAGAACAGCCAGCTTGGGCGCGCATGCTCCCCCAGCCCGGAGGCAAGGGGCGCTCCCTGCACGGGGAGCCCAGGGGCGAGGCCTTCCAACGCTCTGGTGGTTTCCCTCCCCAGGGCAGTCGCCCTGGCAAAAGGCCGCGGGGCCCTCTGGGGAAGACTGAGGAAAGAGCCGTACTACACCCTTCGGACAGCAGAGCGAGGCCCTTCCTCAAGGGGACCTGGTCCCCTTCCTTCAGGGTGGTGTGGGGCTGCAACTAGCTCAAGTCTGGCTATCGACTGAGGCACATGACGGTTCAAGTAAGACTTCTGGTTACTTGACCTAAAAGTCTTAGGTCAAGTCAGCATTTACTAGACTGCAATTCACTCCTAGGGCTGCCATGAGCAACCAGGCTACACAACAGACCGTCCCCAGAACTGCCGTGGCCCTGGTGTCCGGTGTGGCAACCACACCCTCTTGGTCTTCGGGGACCCTTAGGGGCCCAGAGAAGGGGCTGATGACCAGGACGTGGGGGGTGGGGAGGAAAAGGGCTCCACAAAAGAGGTGACTGTGACAGACAAGAGCAGAAAGAAGACAGGGCCATGCACGCAGACACAGGGGCCAAGCAAAGGGGCGGCGGCCCGTTACTGAAGCAAGGAAGGACCCCTAGTGGCTCTGAAGACCTGTGCTCCAGCAAGGACACTGCCACAGGGCCCTGAACCAGTTTGAACTGGTTCAGTCACTCCAACGAAGTCCATCTTTGTGACAAAGCTAAATTGAAACAGACCGAATTTTTAAAATTTGGATGAACTAGAACGATAACCGGAACAGGGCAAGTCATGGGTGGAACCTTTGGAATGAGACTCGGGAAAGGTGCAGGGAGCCCTTCAGGGGCCTGACGCAGGAGACGGGCTCACTGCCAGGACTGTGGAGCACCACACACGTTCCGAGCAACGAGATCAGCCGCAATCTTTGAGCGGGGCAACGCTGTTTTCCACTATACCCGGTTAAGAAACTTGGTTGCCGTGCAACATACATGCTGCCCTGTCTTCTAAGAGGCAGATTAAGTTTCCAGCAGAGTGTCAGCTCATCATTTTTCCTGTTCTAGTTATCATCCCTGTTCACCCACATTTTACAAACTCAGGTCTGTTCTGCCTTCACTTCGTCAGCCCTGGACTGAACTGGGAAGAAGTGGTTCAAAATCCTGCTCTGCCACCAGCTGCTTGGGTGACCCTGGACCTGTCACTTCCCCTCATGGGCCCAATTTCCTCAGCTGCAAAAATGAGGAAGCTACACTATGTATTTTCCAAGGTTCCTTCCAGCTGTAACTTTGGCGGGAAGATAAAGAACACTGAGGCCCAGGCCTGTCTCCTGCCCTCCCAGGGCTTCTGCTCTGGCCCTGCGCCTTCAGTCCTGCCACTCTGCTGCGAACGCCGAGGCAGGACTGCAACTCACCTACAGCCACCTCAAGACCAGGCAAGGGTCCCGCAGCCGCTGGGCTGGACGCAGCCAAAGAGAAGGGACACAAGCTTTTAAACACACATGCCCTCTCTTCAGGTGCACCCCTCCTACCAACGATCCAATCCGTCCTCATCCCCAGATCAGCAAGATCACTGCCTGCGAGAGAGCGAGAGCGAGAGCGAGAGTGGGCGGGCGGGTGAGGCCCTCGCATCCCCATCTCACACCCACACACCCGTGGGCTTTGTCTCTTAGCCACAGGGAATGCTGAAGCTCAGATAACACCACCCCCGCAGATGGAAAAGGGAAGCAGACTGACCTCACCCTACAAGGGCAGGCAGGAGCAGGTGCATGCGCGTCTCCAGAAGAGCGAACACTGACCGCCGGTGAGTGGGCGAGCAGGCGTACACACAGTACAAACCAAGGCCCGGTCCACACCCATGGCCAGAACTCACCGGGCTCAAGAACAGAACACGAGTGGCCCGCAAAGCGCTCGGCAAAGCCACACCCACCAAAACCCCCAAGACAGAGTTGGGTTTGCCAGGTGCTCCTGAGAAATCACCCACAGGATTTACGGTGACAGGTTCCAAACCACAAGCCCAGAGGTGTCTGGGGCTCAGTTAGCTACCACCACACACAACTACCGCTGAGCCAGTGCCGGGTGTCTGTCCCCGTAGTGTAACGAGCTCGCAGCAGCCCCAGGAAGGGAAGGGCAGGGCCGGTGGGGGCCCTGTCCTTACTGGAACCCTGCTCTCTTTCTGACAGTGCACTTTCCTGCCAAGGAGTCTGCTCCGGGCCCTACTGGAACCGTCGGTCCAGGGTGCGCAAGAGCCGCCGTCCACGCCGGCAACATCGCTAACAGCACACCTCTTCGGAGAAGCGGTCTCACCTTCCCGGGCTTACTCCCGAAACCGCAGCTGCCCGGGCTGGCACCTGGATCTCCACACCACCCTGCAGCCAGCGTCTCACGCAAACTGGAAGCAACAGGTGGTGACAGACCAGAAGGGTCAGCAGCAAACCACCAACCTGGGGAAGCCCTCGGGGGAGGGCTCTCTCCACCCTGAGGGTAGGAGGCTGGCTGGGTGGGTTAGCGGGCTGCAACCACACCTCGCCTTCAAACCGCCTTTTCCTGGGTGGCACACTCTCCCAGCTCTCCACCCTGGGACTCCAGGCAACTGGGGCCAGCGGGAGGTCCCATGCCAGCGCCCAGGAGGGTTGGTGTTCAGGGCCCTGGGGTGGGCCCCACCCCAAAGCTTGGAGTATGGGCCTAGACCCGAAGAATCAGGCCAGCCAGAGCCCCAGGAGAGGGTGGACATGGGGCAAAAAGGAGTTTGCTAACCATGCCACCTGGCAAAGGGGAAAGAGCTGAGAGGTGACCACAGGCTACAGCCCGAAGGCCCCGCTTCCTAAAGGACCCCACGCTGGCAGGAGGCAGCTTTCCTCCTGCACCCTCAGTCTGGCGGAGTGTAGCGAACTCTTACAGACCTGCCTCCAGCCAGAGCGGAGAAGCCCTCCCAGCCAAGGGAGGCCCACGGGGTGGCCCGCAGCCAACAGGCCAAGTGGCTTCGAGGGGCAGGAAGAAGGGGCCGAAGCTGTCATGAAAAAGTCGGCCTTCTGCCCTAGAGAGCTGGATAGGGCAAGTCTGGGTGGCACCACGGAAAGGGGCGGAAGCCAGGCTGGCACCTCAGTGACACCTGGGCAGAGAGGAGCAGCCCTTGCGGCCCTCTGCCAGAGAACGGGGCGAGGCGGGGAGTCGGTGCCCCCGCTGCGCAGCTCTGCCCCGGAAGGGCATTTCCCTCTTTTCTGGATTAGGTCATTCCTCCAGACCGGGCACCGGAGATGGGGAGGAGCAGGCGAGCCAGGGCAGGGCGCGGGCTCGGCCTGCAGGACGCACATCCGCTGCGCGCCAACGGGCCGATCTCTGATGTCCAAGTGCCAGCCGCTGGCGACACCCCCCCCCCCCAAATAACGAGAAGCGAGGCCGGAGAGGCGAAGGGTGTGAGAACGCAGAGGGCGGGGTTCGGGGAGAAGAGCTGGCAAAAGCAGGGGAGAAGCCGGGCCGGGCGAGGGGTCGTGGAGAGGAGGCCGAAAG